TGGATGGCCGTCGGATCGCTTGAGAGCCGCCAGCGCTCAATGTAGTATTCCCAAGGCAGGTCTGGGTGCAGCACGTTTCACAACGTGCACCTCGGTGATCGACTCGCCGGCGCGGGCGCGCAGCTTGTCCCACGCCTGCTCGAGCGTCATCGTGTACGCGCCGTCGTCGCCCGGCTGCAGCCGGGCGAAGGGGTCAAAGAACAGGGGCAGGTGCGCGACGCGGACGTTGGTCGCCTCCAGCGGATGTTGTGGTTGATAGACGGTCAGCCGGACTGTGCCGGCCGTTCCCGCTCGCGGTTGGCCAGCCAGCCCAGCGCGTGGAGGTCCGGCGCCTCGAACAGCCGAATCCCGTCTTCCAGTTGCAGGCGGACGACGTGTCGAGCTTTCCGGGGATGTCCCGCCGAGGACCGCTTCGGGGCCAGTCTTTTGCGTACGGATTCTAATCCACGAACTCGACCACGACCGGGCGCGGAATGAGCCGCGCGTCGTACGCCTCGGCAAACAGGCGCTCCAGCGCCGCGCGGCCGCGTGGGCCGTAGGAGCGTCAGCTCGTTCACGTACATGCCGACGAACCGGTCGGTCCGCTCGACGTCCAGCCCGCGTCCGAAATCGAGCGCGTAGGCGATTGCGTCGGCGCGGTGCTCAGCGCATGCGCGATGCTCGCGTGCAGCATGCGTGACACCTCGTGCATCGTGTCGGCGCCGAGGTCGCGCCGGATGGCGTTGCACCCGAGCGGCAACGGCAGACCCCCCGGGTCGGTCGGCCCACCAGACGCCCAGATCAACCAGGCACCGCAGCCCTTCGTCGGCATACGTGAGCTGCCCCTCGTGGATCAGCAGTCCCGCATCCACGGTGCCGTCGACGACGGCGGGCTGGATGTCGTCGAACGGCATCACCCGCCAGGCGACGCCGGGCCGGTACAGCTGCAGCGCCAGGTACGCCGTGGTCAGCTCGCCCGGGATCGCGACGGTCACGCCGTCGAGCGTCGCCGGCCCGTCCGAACGCGCCACAACTATCGGCCCATAGCGATTCTTCGCCCATGCTGGCGCCGTGCGGCAGCAGGGCGTAACGGTCGACAAGGTGCGCGTAGGCGTGGACCGAAACCGCCGTCACCTCGTAGCGCCCCTCGAACGCCGCGCGGTTGAGCGACTCGATGTCGGCGAGCACCTGGGCGATCTCGAAACGGCCGGGAGCGACCGCGCCGCACGCGAAGCCGTAGAACATGAATGCGTCGTCGGATCCGGGCTGTGCGCCACGGTGATGCGCGTCGTTGCTACCGCGTCAGGCATCGTCGTCCTCCGGCTCGGCGTACGGCTGCGCCCCACGCCGCACGACAATGGTCAGGCCGAACAGGGCGATGACCGCGGCGGCCGACAGGCCGACCCAGGCGCCTGACGCCATCGCCGGATCGGGCACCACGGCCGGCGCACCGCCGTCGACGATGGCCCGCGCTTCCGACCTGGCCCACGCCTGCTGCGCGGCCGCACGCTCCAGCAGGCGCTCGCCCGTCAGCAGGATCGCGAACGCGGCCAGCCCGACCAGCAGCAGCGGGTGCCGCGAGTTCTTGCGCGTAATGACGCTGAGCGTCGCGAGGACGGCCGCGAGCAGGCGCGAGCGATGCGATCCTAGGGCATGAGAACGCCGGCTGGCAGTCGACGCCGACGCGCTCGTCGCCCATCATGATCCACGGCATGAAGGCGCTCGTGGCCAGCGCGAACCCGGCCGTGAGCGGGAGATAGTACGCCCGCATGCTGTGCCGCACGGCAGCGCCCACCACCCCCACCCATCAACGACATGGGAGTCCGTGGCAAAAGCCCCGCTGCATTCGACCGTCCATGCATCCCGTCTGAACTGCGTTGTTCCTCGGTCACATACTGCTCGTATGCTCCCTCGTCACGCCTTGTCAGCCGTGCGCCTGGCCGGTCTCGGTGCGACGCGGGGTTTCACCACGGTCTCCCAGGCCGGCAGTCTAGCAGACTGTGGCAAGACCGCGCGTTGAACCGAGACCCGCCCGTATCAATGCCGCGTCCGGCCAGTACAAGGCGCGAGGAGGGAGCATATTTCCAATATGTGAGTGACGAGCAAGCCGCGCACGGCGCGGCCCGGCAAGCGCGGCGCGGGGCGAAGGGGTCCCCGCTAGCGCTTGCCGGGGGTTTGGGGCGCAGCCCCATCTAAGTAATGCCGCGCGGGGCGAAGGGGTCCCCGCTAGCGCTTGCCGGGGGTTTGGGGCGCAGCCCCATCTAAGTAATGCGGCGGGTGGCGTCAGGAAACCGTGCGGCTTCCAGCCGGCTGCCGGGGTCGGGATCGGAACGCGGGACGGCGGCGGATCGTCGGGGTGACGACCGGCGCCGGTGGCAGCGCGGCCGGATCCAGACTGTCCAGCTCCTCCAGGATGTCGGAGGCCCAACTGAAGACGGCGCGACCCGCAACCACGCGCCGGAGCGCGCGCATGCGCCGGCGCCGCTCGTCGGCCGGCATATCTATCGCATGCTCCAGCGCGTCGGCGAAACCCTCCGCGTCGTACGGATTGATGGCGAGCGCGTCATGCAGCTCCTGGGCGGCCCCGGCGAGTCTCGCTCAGCACCAGGACGCCGTCGAGGTCGTCGCGCGCGGCGACGAACTCCTTGGCCACCAGATTCATCCCGTCGTGCAGGGAGCTGACGACGCAGAAGTCGGCCAGACGGTACAGGGCCACCAGCCGCTTGATCTTGAGCGCCGACTTCCGGTAGCGGATCGGTCCGCCGGACACCGGGTAGCGGGCGTTGATCTCGGCGACTTTCTGATCGATGGCCTGTTCCATCGCCATGTAGCTGTCGATTGTCGATCGGGAGGGGACGCCGATCTGCACGAACGTCAACCGTCCGCGCAGATCCGGCCGTCGCTTCAGGAGCAGATCCAACGCCTCGAGCCGCTCCGGAATGCCCTTGGTGTAGTCGAGCCGGTCCACGCCGACACCCACGAACGGCGTCTCGATCCGCAGCTCCGCGACGAGCCGCTGCATGTCCGCCTCCAGCGCCTGCCCGCGCGCGTAGCCCTGAATCCGATCGTAATCGACGCCGATCGGGACAGCCTGCACCGCCGTGACCCGGCCACCGTGCGGACCGTGCTGCGCGCCACATCCGCGCCCACTCGTCGCGCGCGGCGGCAATGAAGTTGCGGCGGTCGCGCTCCAGCTGGAACGCCAGCAGATCGTTGGCGAGCAGTCCGGTCAGCAGCTCGCGGCGCCAGGGACAGATGCGGAGCCGGTTCGGATGCGGCCACGGGATGTGCCAGAAGAGCGCCGTGCGGGCTCCCGGGCGGCGCGCGCGCAGGGCGGGCGCCACCAGTGCGAGGTGGTATCCTGAATGAAGACCGGCGCGGACTTGTCGGGCAGCTCCTGCTCGATGACGGCGGCGAACTGCTCGTTGACGCGCTGGTAGGCGGCCCAGTCGGGGGCGCGAAAACGGGCCGGACATGCGCTTCGTGGCACAGCGGCCAGAGCCCCTCGTTGGCAAATCCCTCGTAGTAGCTGCTCGCCTCGTCCGCGCTGAGCCAGAGCCGCCGCAACCGATACGACGGGCTGTCGGGCGGAACCATGATCCGGTCGCCGTCGTCCACCACATCCCGGTCGGCACTGCCGGATCCATGCGCGATCCAGACGCCGCCGCGCTCGCGCATCAGGGCGTCGAGGGCGACCGCTACGCCGCCGGTGGTGGGCGACCAGCCGATGGCGCCGTCTTCGTTCCGGAAATGCTGATACGGCTCCCGGTTGGAAACGACGACCAGCGGCCGGCGTTGGGCGGGTGCGGGGCTTGACATCATTTCAGCGCTTGCCGCCGGGAACCGGGGTCACAAAGGTGGGATCGGGAGGGTGATCCTCCCGCGAGACGTGCGCCCGAGACGGTGGCCGGGGTGCATGCCATCGGGAAGCCCGGGGGCCCACGGCCACGGGTTCCTACACCTGGAACGACAGGCCGCAACCGCACGCGCTCTTTGCGTTCGGGTTGCGAAAAATCAGTGACTGCCCGAGCATCTCGGAGTCGCAGTCGAGGACCGTGCCGTCAAGATACGTGTAGCTCTTGCGGTCCACGAAGATCCGCGTGCCGTCGGGGCTCTCGAACACGTTGTCCGTCGGTTTCGGCGCCTGCTCCCACTTGAAGATGTAGCTCATACCCGAGCGCCGCCCGCCTTGACGCCGATGCGCAGGCCGCCGGCGCCTTCGTTTTCGGTGGCCATTGCCTCGCGGATTCGGCGGGACGCCGCTACTGTAACTTCAATCATTTCGGCCGATCCTTCTTGTCGTAGTGTAGACGATCGCCGCCGGGGGCGTCAGGACGTGCGACTTGCTGGCGACAGTTGCCGCAGCCGCGTCACGAGACTGCTCACCTTGTCGGCGGCGTAGTCGATCTCGTCCGCGGTGGTCCACCGGCCCAGGCCGAAACGGAGCGACGCGCGGGCCAGTTCGTCGGGAATCCCGATGGCGCGCAGGACGTGCGACGGCTCCAGGCTCGGCGACGCCCGGCACGTTCAACGTGCCGGAGCGCAGTCCGCGTTCATGCCCGCCCCCATCGATGAGCGGCGCCAGCGGCACGCGCGGCCGGCGGCGGCGCACGTACAACGCGCCCACGCCCTTGGGACCGTACAGTTTGTGCGCCGTCAGCGAGAGAGGTCGACCCCGAGCGCCTCGACGTCGACGGGCGCCCTGCCCACCGCCTGCGCCGCGTCGCTGTGCAGCAGAATGCCGCGTTCGCGCGCCAGCGCCGCAATCGCGGGGATGGGCTGCAGCACCCCGATCTCGTTGTTGGCCAGCATGACGCTGACCAGCGCCGTGTCGGCGGTGAGCGCCCGCTCGATCGCCGCCGGGCTGACGAGGCCATCCGGACCCGGCTCGACCTCGGTCAGCCGGACCCCGCCGTCCGCCAGCCGCCGGCACGGGTCGAGCACCGCCCGATGCTCGGTTGCCACGGTCACGACTGTGCAGCGGTCGCCCGCCGCACGCGGCCAGCGCGCCCTTCAGCGCCAGGTTGTTCGACTCGGTGGCGCCGCTCGTGAAGCAGATTCGCGCGGGTCCGCGCCGATCAGACCGGCCACCTGCCGGCGCGCCGCCTCGACGGCGTCGCGGGCGGTCCAGCCGAACGGATGGTGCCGGCTCGCGGCATTGCCGAAACGGTCCGTGAAGTACGGCGCCATTGCGTCGACGACACGCGGGTCGACAGGTGTGGTCGCGTGGTAGTCGAGGTAGATCGGCAGCTTCGGCATGGTCTGCGGAGGCGGCCGGAGCGGCGTGCCGGCCCGGTCGCGCGAGGCGGCTAACGGTCGGACGGAGCGGCCAGTTGCACTGGCGCCGGCGGGCGGCGGATCACCTCGAGCGGTAGCAGCTCGTCCTGGTCCGCACGCGCCAGCTCGTCGATGGTGAACTCGGAGAGCGTTCGGACGAGGCGGTCCTTCAGCCGCCACAGCGGATCGCGCACGTTGCAGGTCGAGTACTGGTCGCAGCTCTCGTCGATGTCCGAGCAGGCCGTCACCATCACCGGCCCGTCGAGCGCCTGGATCACATCCGCCACCGAGATCAGGGGCGCCGGCCGGGCCAGGTGGTAGCCGCCGCGCTTGCCGTGGTGGGAGGCGAGCAGGCCGCGCTTGGCCAGGCGCTGCAGCACCTTGGCCATCAGCTCCACCGGGATCTTGTAGCGCGCGGCGATCTCGCGCGCACTCGACGAGGCACCATGCGGACTGGACGCCAGAGTCCTTCAGCGCGATCAGGGCGTAGTCGGTCTTCTTCGACAGTCGGAGCATCAAGCCCTCCGCCGCGCGTGTGTGTCGTTCATTCTACCGTGCGCGCCGGAACGCTTCAAACGGGGCGATCGCCATGGAACCGCCTTGCGCGGCCCGACTCCCTTGACCCATCATGAAGAACATGGCGCCGGACACTTTCGACCGGCATCTCGTTGCGTGCCTACAGCGCGCCCTGGAGCCGCGCCGCGAGATTCTCGAGGCATATCTGTTCGGCTCCCGAGCGCGCGGCGACGACCACGGCAATAGTGACATCGACGTGGCCGTCTACGTCAACATGGAGCGCGCACAAGCTGGACAGTGGGGCTATGAGGCCGAGCTGATCACCGATCTGATGGTAGCGCTCGGCACGAACCACATCGACGTCGTCCTGCTGAACCGCGCACCCCCGCTGTTGTACCACCGCGTGCTGCGCGACGGCGTCCGGCTGCTCTCGCGCGACCTGCGGGCAACGACGACCCGCGCCGGTCAAGCCCTGTCGCGCTACTTCGACTTCCTGCCGCAACTCGACAAGATGGACGCCGCGCGCCGGTTTGCGGCGAGCAACGACAGACGGTGACCCCCGGCCGCGCCGACCGCCGCGTCGTGGACCGCCACCTGGCAGCGCTGCGCCAGGCGCTCGCCGGATTGCGGCGGCATGCGAGCGTATCGCCGCAGTCCCTTCGTACCGACTCCGACCGCCGCTGGGTCGTCGAGCGCGGTCTCCAGCTCTGTGCGCAGAACGCCCTCGACATCGCGAGCCACCTCGGCTCGGCCGCTGGCCTCGACCCGGCGACCTACAGCTCGTCGATCGACTGCCTGGTCGAGGCCCACGTGCTGCCGCCTGAATTCGCCGCGCGATTTCGCGGCATCGCGGGTTTCGGAAACGTACTCGTGCACGGTTACCTCGATGTTGACCTCGACCGCGTTGCCGCCATGGTCACCGACCATCTCGACGATTTCGAGCAATTTGCTCGGCACGTCGAACGGTGGTTTTCGGAGACCGTCCTGCCCGAGCCGGCGGTGTTCCCTCCGCCTGTTGCCGTAGCCGGCTCCGTTTCCGCCATCGGCGTCGACGGATGCCCAGCGGGCTGGCTCTTCGTGGCATTGGAGCCGTCCGGGGAATCACGCTGGGGAATCGTTCGCAATCTAGACGGGTTGGTGCGGGATGCCGACGAATCGTCTCGTATCTTCGTCGACATTCCAATCGGACTCCCCGACGGACCGGGCGGTCGCGAGTGTGACCGCGCTGCCCGTCGAGAACTTCGCGCTCCCCGTGCAAGCAGCGTGTTCCCGGCGCCGGCGCGAGCCGTGTTCGGCGCGGCTGATTATGAAGATGCCAAGCGCCGCAGCCGCGAGACCATCGGCGCGGCACTCAGCAGACAGGCGTTCGCGATCCTCCCGAAATGCCGGGAAGTTGATCAACTGCTACGCACGAACGCGAAGGCACGCCGGCTCATCCGCGAGATACACCCGGAAGTCTGCTTCTGGGCTTTCGCTGGACGCCCGATGAGACACAACAAGAAAAGCAAGGAGGGATTCGACGAGCGCATGGCGGCGCTGAAGCAGCTGAGGCCAGCGGTCGAACAGGAAATCGAAAAGGTCCTCACTGCCGTCAAGCCTCGGGATGCGGCTCGCGACGATGCGGTGGATGCAATGGCCGCCGCGTTGACGGCGTCGGCGGATGGTGTGCGGCTAAGGACCCTGCCGCCGGATCCGCCAATAGATTCCGAGGGGCTCCCGATGGAGATGGTCTACGTCGAATCCAGCGCGACGTGAATACGGCTGCATGCTGGCGCATTCTGGAGCTGTTTCACGACTGCGTCCCGGTGATTCCGTCCCCCTTTAGCTGCTCCGGTACGATCCCGCATGAAACTGCACTTCGTCGTAGACGGCCAGACCCGCGCGCTTGCGTGCGCGCACCCGAAAGGCGCGATCCCACCATCGATTCGACGGGACGGCTTTTGAATACCTTGCCCTGATCGGTTCCGACAGGGCGTCAATACTTCGGCAGCGTCGGATCCACGGCGTCGATCCAGCGCAGGATGCCGCCGCGCAGGTTCTTTGCCTGGGCGAAGCCGGCCTCCCGGAGCAGCTTGACCGCCTTGGCGCTGCGCGCGCCCGACTTGCAGTGGACGATCATCTCGCCGCGCCCCTCGAGCTCGTGCAAGCGGCTCGGGAGGTCGCCCAGCGGGATCAGCGTGGAGCCCGGAATGTTGCAGATCTGGTACTCCTGCGGCTCGCGGACGTCGAGGATGAACGGCTCGTCCCGCTGATCGAGCCGCGCCTTGAGCTGCTCCACCGTCGCGTCGTCGCTCGGCGGCGGGTCGGCGGCGGCGGACGCCGGCGGCGCGATGCCGCAGAACTGGTCGTAGTCGATCAGCGCGGTGACGGTCGGGTGCTCGCCGCACACCGGGCAGTCCGGATCCTTCCGCAGCTTCAGCTCGCGGAAACGCATCCGTAGCGCGTCGTAGATCAGGAAGCGGCCGATCAGCGGCTCGCCGGCGCCCATGATCAGCTTGACCGCCTCGGTCGCCTGGATGGTGCCGACCACGCCCGGCAGGATGCCCAGCACACCGCCCTCGGCGCAGCTCGGGACGAGTCCCGGCGGCGGCGGCTCCGGATACAGGCAACGGTAGCAGGGGCCGCCCGTCGCGCCGAATACCGATGCCTGGCCTTCGAAGCGGAAGATGCTGCCGTAGCAGTTCGGCTTGCCGAGCAGCACGCAGGCGTCATTGACCAGATAGCGCGTGGGGAAATTGTCGGTGCCGTCGACGATGATGTCGTACTCGCGGAACAGGTCGAGCGCGTTGCTCGACGAGAGCGCCACGTTGTGGGTGTCGACGCGCACCTCGGGGTTGATGGCCGCCAGCGAGTCGCGCGCGGAATCCAGCTTGGGCGGCCCACGTCGGGTGTGCCGTGAATGATCTGCCGCTGCAGGTTGCTGTAGTCGACCACGTCGAAGTCGACGATCCCGATCCGGCCGACGCCGGCCGCGGCCAGGTACATCGCGACCGGCGAGCCGAGACCGCCGGCGCCGATGCAGAGCACGCTGGCCGCCTTCAGCTTGAGCTGCCCGTCCATGCCGACCTCCGGCATGATCAGGTGCCGGCTGTAGCGGGCCACCTCTTCGTTGGTCAGCGCCGGGGTCGTCACGATATGCCTCCCCCCGCCACCGTCGGGATGATGCTGACGGTGTCTCCCTCCTTGACCGGCGTCGCTTCCTTCTCGAGGAAGCGGATGTCGTCGTCGTTGAGGAAAATGGCCACGAACGCCCGCAGCCGGCCATCCTCGTTGTACAGATGCTTGCGCAACTCGGTGTATTCCGCCGTCATGTTCGCCAGCAGCTCGCCGACTGTCCGGCCCTCCACCTCGATGACGTCCTGCTTACCCGCATAGACGCGCAACGGGCGTCGGAATCAGAATCCTGGTTGGCATGGCACCTCGCCTGTCTCGTTCCTCAAGCCATCGTCCGGCGTCACCGCCACCGGCTCCTCGTCGAATGCCGACCGATCCTCGCGCAACCGCCACGACGTCAGCGCGCCCGGCATGCCCCCCTCAACGGAGACGATCACGTACGCGAACACCGGCCACGCGTGGTCCAGGTCGTATTGCGACGGACGCGCGGGATGGTCCGGGTGCGAGTGATAGAAGCCGAGCAACTCCGCCCCCCGTTCGCTCGCCCGCCGCTCGGCAGTGCGGTAGTCGCGCGGCCCGATCCGGAAGCGGCGCCGGGTCGCTTCCGCGGCGGCGTTCGGCAACGCCAGCGCCTCGGTCACCAGCCGGCCGCGGCCGACGAGGGCGCCGCAGCACTCATGCGGGTACGTCTCCCGGCCATGCCGCCGAATGTCCGTATCGGCCGCCGCGCGGAGCGTGAGCATCGGTCGTCCCAACCCGCCTGGTCGAACTACTCCGCGCCAGGTTCCGCATCGACGGGATACCCCTTCTCCCGCCACGCCAGTGTGCCGCCCGTCATGCTCCGCACGTTGCGGTAGCCGAGCGACTTGAGAAACAGCAGCCCCGACAGCGACGCGTTGCCGCGCTGACAGACGCTGAGAATGGGGGCGCCGGGATCGGCCGGCAGCGCGCCATGCGCCCGGCCGTCGCGCAGCTCCGCGAGCGGCATGTTGACCGCGCCCGGCAGGTGCGCCTCGCGGTACTGCTCCCGCGGGCGGACGTCCACGATGAACGGTTTGCCGTTCTGCAGCAGCGCGTGGGCGGCGTCGACGTCTATTGTCAGGTCGCCATTGCCCCGTACGTTCTCCCGCATCACCTCGAGCAGCGGGTCGCGGGCGGGCTTTGCCGCCTGCGGCGCCTGCGCCTTGAGCCCCGGCAGATGCTTCACCACCGACGACGCGTACTTGAAGGCGCTGTCCGGGAAGATCACCACCGCCAGATTGCCCGGCTCGTCCGGCACCAGCTCGAACGCGCCCTGCAGGGCCATCGCCGAGCTGGGTCCCGCGACGATGCTTTCCTCGCGGTTCAGCCGCAGGCAGAGCTCGAACGCCGCCTGGTTCTGCACTTCGATCAGCCCGTCGTATTCATCCGGAAAGAACAGCTTCGTCTGTTGCAGTTGGCGGAGGCTGCGCACGCCGGGGATGTCATGTCCCTCGCTGGGGTGCACGCCGAGCACCTGAACGGCTGGACGCTGCGCCTTGAGAAACCGTCCCGTGCCGGTAATGGTGCCGCACGTGCCGAGACCGGCCACGAAGTGCGTCACCCCGCCCTCCGTCTGGCGCCAGATCTCGGGACCGGTGGTCTTGTAGTGCGCCTCCGGATTCGCCTCGTTGGTGTACTGGTTCAGCATGTGGAAATCGGGCCGGTCGCCGATCTCCATCGCCTTGGCGATGGCCCCCTCCGGCGCGCCGGGAGCCGGACACAGCGTGTCCTCGAGCTCCATCACATCCGCGCCGAAGAAGCGCAGCATGGTGCGCTTCTCGAGCGGGATCTCGCTCGACAGGGGGAGTCGTGAGTGAATAGCCTTTCGCGTTCGCGAGCATCGCGAGCGCCATGCCGGTGTTCCCGGAAGTCGGCTCCACGAGCTTCTGGTCCGCCTGCACGGTCCGGCGCGCTTCGCCGTCGTCGAGCAGGTTGGCCGCCACGCGGTCCTTGACCGCCCCGAACGGGTTGTACCATTCGAGCTTGGCGTATACCTGCGTGTGGCGGTACGGCGTCACCCGGTTCAGGCGCACGAGCGGCGTGGGGTTGTCCACCCCCGACAGCATGCCGAGAATCGACTCGTACACACGCAACGCGTGATCAGGCATCAGACTACGATCCTACCTCATGAAGAAGAGCGACAGACGCACGTCCGACACCCCCGGCGCGCTCGACGGCCTGACCGTGATCGACCTCACGCGCGTGCTCTCCGGACCCTACTGCACGATGATGCTCGCCGACATGGGCGCCCGCGTCATCAAGGTCGAGCAGCCGGGCCGCGGGGACGACACGCGGGCCTGGGGGCCGCCGTTCCAGAACGGCGAGAGCGCCTATTTCCTCAGCATCAACCGCAACAAGGAAAGCGTGACGCTGAACCTCAAGCATCCGGAGGGCCGGCGCGTGCTCGATGCGCTCATCGAGCGCGCCGACGTGCTGGTCGAGAACTTCCGGCCCGGCACGCTCGAGCGGATGGGGCTGGGCTACGCGGACCTTGCGCAGCAACGCCCCGATCTCGTCTACTGCTCCATCTCCGGATTCGGCCAGACCGGGCCGCGGCGGCGCGAGCCCGGCTACGACGCGGTGATGCAGGGCGAGGGCGGCCTGATGAGCATCACGGGCGCGCCCGACGGTCCGGGCTACCGGCTGGGCATCGCCATCGTGGACATCGTTTCGGGGATGTTCTCGGCCTACGGCATCGCCGTCGCCCTCCTCGCGCGGGAGCGCACCGGCCGCGGGCAGTACATCGACGTCGGGATGCTCGACTCGGTTGCGGCGCTGCTCACCTACCAGGCGGGAATCCACTTCACCACCGGCGAGCGCCCGGCCGGCTCGGCAACCGGCATCCGTCGATTACACCGTACGAAACGCTCGATGCGGCGGACGGCGAGCTGGTGGTGGCGGTCGGCAACGATCAACTGTGGCGCACGTTCTGCGGCGTGATCGGCGCGGAGGCGCTGGCCGACGACGCGCGCTTCCGGACGAACAAGGACCGTGTCGCGGCCCGCGAGACGCTGCGGCCGCTCCTGGTGGAACGCATGCGGACGCGTCCGGCGGCGGAGTGGATCGAACGGCTCAAGGCGGCGGGGATCCCCTGCGGCGGGGTGCGCAATCTGGCGCAGGTGTTCGCCGACCCGCAGCTCATCGAGCGGGCGATGGTGGTAGCGCTCGACCATCCCGGTGGCCGGCGCCATCCGGCAGCTCGGCGTGCCGATCAAGATGAGCGGCACGCCGGGTGCGGTCCGCACGCCGCCGCCCGCGCTCGGCCAGCACACCGAGGCCATCCTGGGGCGAGCTCGCGATGAGCGGGTCGGAGATAGCGCGCCTGCGCGCGGACGGCGCCGTTTGAGCGGCGGTCACGGCCGCCGCGTCGATGTAGCGGGGCTCACCGTCACCGTGACGTCGACCGGCGTGGTCAGGACCATGTCGTCGGCGACGGCCCGCAGCACGTAGGTGCCGGGCTCGCTGAAGCCGGCCGTGGTGACCGCCCGTCCGTCGACGATCCCCGGCACGCGCGGATCGAACGCCACGGTCCCGGGACCCCTCCAGTGGAGCCACGTGACAGCGAGTCCGGTGGGCGCCGCAGCGCGGAAATCGACCGCCGACGCGTCGATGTCCCCAGAGCCGATCGAGCTCTTGACCGTCGCGAGATCGGGATTCGGCGGCGGGATCCCGTCGTCGGCGACGAGGACCGCCAACTGCACGGATCCCGGCAGCGTCACGGACCTCGCGCCGGCGCCGTCCACTGTGAGGGACGGCGGAAGGTTTCCCTCCAGCACGCCGGGCTGCACTCGGGACGTCAGGCCCCGGTTCCGGCCGATCAGGCTCTGGTCGAGCTCCCACACCGGCCAGAGCGACGCGTACGCCTTGTCGGTGCGCCCGTTGTGCGTCACGGTCCAGACCAGATCCTTGTCGCCCCAGTCGGCCGGCACGCGCACCTTGAAGACCAGCTGCTGTCGGCGGTTGTAGAAGTGCGTCGGCTGGCCCTGGTCGGGCGGGCCCGGGGCGAGGAAATTGTCCGCGCCCACTGGCGCGACGGGGCGCTCGCGGTAATTGCGGTTCAGGTACCCGAACCACATGTCGAACGACCCGTCGGCGTTCGCCGTCCACCCCTCGAACACCGGCTGGACGTTCTGGCCGCCGTTCCAGCGCGTCTGGCCGCGCGCCGGGCCCGCCGAGGCAGACAGCAGCGACAGCGCCGATGCAGCGATGACGACACGCGTCCACGGCGTCATCCGAATCACCTACTGGTCGTTGTCGCCGGTGGCCGCCTGCCGTTCCTCGACCTCCGACTCGAACTCGGCGTCGCTCATCTCGTACCAGCTGACCCACGAGAAGCTCATGTCGTCGTTCGACCGCTGACCGAATCCGGTCCAGTTCCTCGAGTCGTCGTTCCAGCGGTTCGCCGCCGAGTTGTCGTGCCAGCTGATGACGTGCAGCGTCGTCCCGTTCGGTAGCAGCGGCGCGACGTCGTCCCGGTAGTTGTAGACGATGTGCCACCCGAAGTCCCAGTCGGCGCAGTTCAACATCTCCACGCTGTTGTCGGGCAGTATGGCCTCGATGCACTGCCGCTTCCCGAGGTTGTGCAGGTGCGGCTGGAAACCGGTGATCTTGACGTTCTGTTCGAAATGATGGTAGCCGTCGTGGCGGACGTTGCTCTCGCCCGCCGGGATGTCCAGGTCCACGTTCCAGCCGATGCTTCTCGAGAACAGTTTCCGCCGCGGCTCGGTGCCCCGGGGATAGAAGGTGAGGCCGACCGACGTCCGGTCGGTGCGCCGCTCGCCGATCGCGTGATAGTGCATGTTGAACAGGATCGTCGACCCGGCCTTCATCTCGCGGCCGGTCCCGTCCGGGAAAATGTCGCCGTTCTTGCCGATCGCGTATTCGTTGAGGAAGCTCCGCTCGCCGTCGGGATCGACGAGATTCGTTACGGCATGGTGCGTGACGGCGAAGCCGTCGGCCGAGGGCTTCGTCTCGACCGCCTTGATCCACCGATCCTCGGTCAGTCCGGACGGCGACTCGAGCCGGCCGAACCAGTCCGGCGCCTCCGGCGCGACGACATACGGCTCCGGTATCGGCACGATCAGGTCCGGCTCGCCGATCTGCCAGTCGAAGCTCATCGAAAAAGTCCACGGGCGGCGGCATGTCGGCCGGGTTTCCGCGGGGCGCGCCGCTGTCGACCCAGCGGACGATGGTCGTAATCTCCTCGTCGCTCAGCGACTTGTCCTCCTTGAAGCCCTGCACGCCGATGTTCTTGTCGATGAACCACGGCGGCATCTTGCGGGTCGTGACTTTCTCCTTGATCGACCTGGCCCAGGGGCGCGCCTGCTCGTAGGTCAGCAACGCCATCGGAGCAATCGAGCCGTCGCGATGGCAGTTCTGGCAGGACCGCTGCAGGATAGGCGCCACGTCCCTGGCGAACGTGACCTGGCCGCCGGCGGCGTCCTGCGCCGCCGCCGCTCCGGGGAGCGCGAGCGCAACTCCCGCGACCGCGAGCACGAACAACGGAGCTCCTGTGGTCTTCATCATCTCGACCTCCTCGACACCCGATTCCGGGGTGGCGGTTCCGTCACGGCGCGGCGCTGGCCGCTGCAGCCTCTGCCGCGCGGGCACCCCGCAGGATCAGCGGCATGCTGTGATTTCCTTCGTGGCAGGCGAATTCGTACAGCGGCCCGGTCGCGCGCGTGATCGGGAAACGCACGGTCCAGGGAACAGCAAACGATGCCGGATCGTGAACGGTGAACTCGTACTGCAGCGTATCGGGATCCGAGAACGAGAGCCGCTCCACGAGCCGCAGCTCCGGACCGGCGCCGTGGAGCGTCCACTTGCCGTTGAAGTTCGTGGTTTCCACGACGAGTGTGTCGCCCTCCCAGCGGCCGCGTGCGTCGCCCCGCCACTGGCGGATCGGCTCGGCAAGACGGGGCCGGCCGGTCAGCGGGATGACGCGCAGCTCGAAGTTCTGCTCGTTCAGGAAGACGACATGGTCGGCGGAGTGAAAGACCTGGGCGAGGCGCGGGGCGGGCCTGGCCTCCATGGGAATCGAGCGCCCCATGATGCAGCGCTCGTAGCGCTCGCGGTCTTCCGGCCCGTCCGCCGCGCGCTGCCGCAGCGGAGGCGCGAGCGTCTCCAGACGGGCCGCGCCGGCCGCCGTCCGCCGGGGAATCCTGCCGTCCGGCGGATCGACGATCAGCGCCGTGCGGCCGCTCGTCAACTCGCCCGGCACCCACCAGTCCGCGTTCAGCTGGAGGTCGCGCTCGGCGCCGATACTGGCGTAGCGGTCAACGAGATACGCTTGCGCCTCTTCCGGGGTCAGCACGGTCTTGCCGGCCAGCTCCGCGGGGCGCTGCAGGGGCGTCGTGGTGCCGTACTCCCAGTAGCCGCTGAAATCCGGCGTACCCCAAGCTGTGCGGGGTACATCCGCGGCATCGTTGCCCGACTGGCCCGCCGCCGCGCGCGGCAGCATTACGGACAGCAGCGATGCAACGGCGAGCACCCCCGCCAGCAGCGCACACGCGGCGAATCGACGTCTCAACAGCACCCTCCCGGTAGGCGCACGGTTCGACCAGACCGCATTGTATCCTTCGCGGTGAAAACCCGTACGCACCACGACGCCGTGCGGGTAGACTGATGGCAACCATCCTCGCGAGGTGCGCATGAAATCCGGCAGCCGATTTCTCGTCCCGCTGACGCTGCTGTCGCTCCTGGTCGCGCTGGCCCTGGGCCAACGCGCCGTCGAGCGGGCGGCGATCGCCCAGAACCGCGGCGCCGGGGAGGCGCCCCGCTTCGAGGTCGACCCGCGCTGGCCGACCATTCCCGACAGCGTGAGCATGGGCGAGGTCACCTCGGTGGCGGTCGACCGCAACGACCACATCTGGATTCTGCACCGTCCGGACAGCGGCCCGGCGGTGCTGGAATTCGACGCATCGGGACGCTACCTGCGGGGCTGGGGCGGGCCCGCCGACGGGTACGAGTGGCCGGCTATCGCCCACGGCATCTTCGTCGACTACAAGAACAACGTCTGGGTCGGCGGCCGGTCGGGCGAGCCGCCCGCCGACGACATGTTGCTCAAATTCACCGCCGCCGGCGAGCTGCTCCTGCAGATCGGACGTCGCGGCGGCAGCAACGGCAATGCCGACACGGGCAACCTGCACCAGCCGGCAGACCAGTTCGTGTACGAACGGACGAACGAGTTGCTGGTGGCCGACGGCTACGGCAACCGGCGCGTGATCGTGCTCGACGCCGACACGGGCGCGTTCAAGCGGATGTGGGGCGGGTTCGGCAACCGGCCGGTGGACGGAGCGGCGGGCCAGGCGGAGTCCGAGCCGCTGGACGCGACCGGGCCGGGCCCGGATCAGTTACCAATCCGCCGCTGGAGGTCACGGCCGTCCATTGCGTCACGGTCGCGAACGACGGCCTGGTGTACGTCTGCGATCGCGACAACCGGCGGATCCAGGTGTTCACGGTCGACGGCACGTACCGCGCGCAGCTGTTCATCAACCGCGGCGCCGAGTCGCGGCGTCGGCGTCGCGCGTGGCGTTCTCGCCGGATCCCGAGCAGCGGTTCATGTACGTGGCCGACTTCAATTCGCGTGTCGTCGTCGTCGAGCGGGAGACGCTCGAGATCCTCGACGCATTCGGCAGCGAGGGCTCCGGACCCGGTCAGTTCCAAGGCATCCACCACCTCGCCGCTGATTCCGACGGCAACCTCTACGCGGCGGAATCGAACCCCGGCAGCCGCGTGCAGAAGTTCGTCCTGCGGGGGGTGGAGCGGTTGTGATGCGACGGACGATAGTGATGGGCGTGCTGCTGGCCGCCGGGGCGGCGGCCCTTGACGGCGGCGGGCGCCTGCAGCAAGAGCAGCGCGACGGTGGCGATGCAGTCGATGGGCGTCGCCGAGAACCTGTACCTCGTCAGCGGCGGCGGCGGCCATACCGCGGCGCTCATCACCGACAACCACGGCGTCGTGTTCGTGGACACGAAGAATCCGGGCTGGGGGCCGTCGAATCCTCACGGCGGTGCAGGCGATCACCGACCAGCCGGTGACAACCATCATCAACACGCACGCGCACGGGACCACGTCGGCAGCAACCCGCACTTCGCGGAAGCAGTCGCGATCGTCGCGCACGAGAACGCGAGAGAAACCATGGCGGGCTCCGAGCTGTTCGCTGGCGGCAACGACAGGTTCCTGCCGAACGAGACGTTCCAGGAAACGCTGTCACTCTTCGAGGGACTCGACCAGATCGACCTGTACCACGTCGGTCCGGCGCATACGAACGGCGACACGATTGTCGTGTTCCGGGCGCTCGAGACCGCGCACGTCGGTGACCTGTTCGCCCGCAAGGCGCCGCCGTTCATCGACCGGTCGAACGGCGGGAGCGGCGTCTCCTACCCCGCCACGCTGGCGCGGGCGGTGGACACCATCGACGGCGTGAGCCGCGTTATCCCGGGCCACGCGCCGCCGCCGCCGCGGAGTCCCATACGCGATTGGATGACGTGGGACGACGTTCGGCAGTACGCGGCATTCACGCAGGACCTGCTGGACGCCGTGCGGGCGTCGCTTGAAGCCGGGCAGACCGCGGAGGAGGCGGCGGCCGGCCTGGACCTGCAGGCGAAATACCCCGACTACGACATGGAGCAGCCCGAGCGCGCCGTGCAGGCCATCTACGACGAGCTGCAGCCATGAGACCGACGATGCGACGCATGCCAACCACTACGAACCGCGCGCGGCGCGCGGTCCCCTGTCTGGTTGCCTGCCTGCTGCTCGCCGCGCCAGGCGCGCGGGCAGAGGACTGGCCGGAGTTCCGCGGCAAGGGGCGGCTCGGCGTCTGGTACGAAACAGGCATCCTGGAGCGGTTCCCTGCGGAAGGACTGGACATCGCCTGGCGCACCCCGCTCAACCGAGGTTACGCCGGACCGGCGGTGGCGGACGGGCGCGTGTTCGTGAGCGACTTCGAGCGGACGAGCGGCATGACCGGCATCGAGCGCGCCGTCTGCCTCGACGAACGGACCGGCGAGATTCTCTGGACCTACGAATGGGAAGCCAACTACGCCGGCATCTCGTGGGACGAGGGGCCGCGCGCCACGCCGACCGTGGACGGCGACCGCGTGTACGTGCAGGGCGCGGCCGGGACGCTCGTGGCCCTCAACGCCGAGACCGGTGAGTTGCTCTGGACCCGCAACTTTCGCGAGGAGTTCGGCGCGGACATGCCGATCTACGGCTTCGCCAGCTCCCCGCTCGTGGACGGCGAGCGGCTGATTACACTGGCCGGCGGCGTGCCGGACGCCAAGGTCATGGCGTTCGACAAGATGACGGGCGAGAGTATGGCGGGCGCTCTCCTCCGAGGAGTCGGGGCCCGGCGTGGGCCAGCCGGTCATCATCGAGGCGAGCGGCGTCCGGCAGCTGATCGTCTGGCACCCCGTCGCCTTGTCCTCTCTGGATCCGGACACCGGCGAGGTCTTCTGGGAGCAGCCGTTCACGGTCGACTACGATATGACCGTCGCCGCGCCGGTCAAGTACGGCTCGGAGCTGTTTTGTCACGACCTTCTACAACGGCCCGCTGATGATGACCCTGGACGCCGACCGGCCGGACGCCGCGGTGCACTGGAAAGGCGAGAGCAACAGCGAGATCCTGACCGAAGGACTGCATTCCGTGCTGGCTACGCCCGTCATCATGGACGGCTACATCTACGGCGTCGGCAGCTACGGACAGCTGCGCTGCCTCGAGGCCGCGACCGGCGAGCGCATCTGGGAGACGCAGGCCGTGACGGTGGAGCGCGCCAGGTGGGCGAGCGCCTTCATCGTGCGCCACGAGGATCGCTTCTTCATCAACAACGACCGCGGCGACCTGATCATCGCGCGCATGACGCCGGAAGGCTACGAGGAGATCAGCCGGACGCACCTGATTGCGCCGACCTCCGCGCCGGGCAACCGGCGCGCGCTGAAGACCGTCAACTGGTCGCATCCGGCGTACGCCAACCAGCACATCTACGCCCGCAACGACGAAGAGATCATCGCCGCGTCGCTGGCGGCTCCCTAGCCATGTGGCGCACCCTACCAGGAGAGGTGTGAGATGAAAAGACGCGCGATCGAGCTTGCCGGCGTCGTCGCCATTCTCGCGGCGGTGACCATGCTGCTGCAGCTAGCGCCCGTCCCCGCCGGAGGCCAGGAGCCGGACGGGGCGCCGCTGACCGCCTGGGGTGAACCGGACCTGCAGGGGATCTGGACCAACAACTACGAGACGCCACTGGAACGGCCGGCGCGCTACGCGGACCGGGAGTTCTTCACGGACGAGGAACGGGCCGCCCTGGACAGCGAGCGAGCCCGGCTGCTCGGCACCCGCCGCTCGGAGCCCGGCAGCGAGCAGGATGTCGGCGGCGCCTACGATGCGTCGATCTTTCTGACACACAAGCACCTGGGCCGGCGGACGTCGCTGATTGTCGATCCGCCCGACGGGCAACTGCCGCCCACCACGCCCGAGGTGCAGCAGCGGCGCGACGAAACGAGCGAGTTCCAGCTCGCCCTCCTGCAGTCCACGGACGCCTGCAAGACCAGCCGGCCCGGCTGCCCGCCGTCCGGCCCGCCGTCGCCGCGGCGCGAGGAAACTCCGCCGCACTACATGGCACGCTCGGTGAATCGCGCGTACGGACCGGAGGATCGCAGCCTGTCGGAGCGCTGCCTGGGAGCCCGCCTGCCGGACTTCGGAAGTGTCACCGGATTCTTCCTGCAGGTGGTGCAGTCGCCCGGCACCGTGTCGCTCTTCTACGACACCGGCCAGGGACAGGGATGGCAGCGGGTCGTCCCGGTGACCGACCGGCCGCACCTCCCGCCGTCCGTGCGCCAGTGGCGCGGAGACTCACGCGCGCGCTGGGACGGCAACACGCTGGTTGTCGACGTGGCCAACTTCAGCCCCAAGACCGACTTCTACGGCTCCCGCGAAAACCTGCAGCTGGTCGAGCGCTGGACGCGCCTGGACGCCGAGACGCTCGAGTACATCGTCACGATCGATGATCCGACGACCTGGACGCGCCCGTGGACGGTCACCTTCGAGCTGAGCCTGCAGAGCAACGAAGCGAACCGGATCTACAAGGAACCGCGCTGCCACGAGGGGAACTACGGCCTGCCGGGCCTGCTCGCGGGGGCGCGTGCCGGTGAACTGGCATTCGCGGAAGGCCGGGGGCCGGATCCGGCGACCCTGTGCATTGCCGGCGGCGCTGCTGCCTGCGGAGGATTCGGCGGCGGGTTCGCCGAGGCAGGTGAAGAAGCCGACCCGTTGCAGCGGTAGGTGCGCTATCGCGAGACGAACGGGCCCAGGCGCGCGAGGGTGAATTCGAGCAGGTCCTCCGCCGTCAGGCCTTGGATGGCCGCGGCCTCGCACAGAACCGCCTCGTCGACCAGCACGCGGCGCCCCCAGCGGCGGCTGACGCGCCCGACGAGTCCCGGCGGATCGCGAAGCGTGTCGATCGCAACCTCGATGTAGTCGTCGGCCGACGACTCCGCGGCGAGCCGGACCGTTCCGGCGGGCGTGAGCACCCGGAACCGGTACCCCTCGGCTTTGAGAGCCGCCGCGACCACGGTGAAGAGCGGGGCAACCACGCCCGCCAGGATCTCGGCGCCGTCCCGCTCGGCGTCCGCAACCTGCGCCCGCCGCTCGGCCGCCGCGCTGCGCGACTCGGCAATGGTGTGACGGACGCGCTTCCGGATGTCACCTACTTCCACGATAGTCATTCCCCTCACGCGCGCGACGGCGTACCGGCCTCGTAGATCCGCACCAGCTCGATCAGCTTGTACCCCTTGGTCTGATACGGCGGCACGATCCGCTCGGTCCGCAGGTATTGGATCATCCCTTCGTCCGCGTAGTCCGGCGGCCCGAACTCGTCCGAGCTCGTCAGGCCGGACTCGATCGCGCCGAGTGTCGTCAGCTTCTCCTCCACGGTGCGGCTGATCGGGAGCACCTTCCACAGGCGGCGGCGCTCCACGCGCACCCGCGTTTGAAACCGCAGGTAGATCTCGTTGCTGACGAAGTTGTACTCGACTTCGGAGCGGGCGGACGGCGCATCCTCGACGCGCACGGCCACAACCGCAGGCAGGCTGGCGCACCAGTCCATAAGCTGCTGGGTGAAGTCGCCCTCCCCCGACCAGTTCGAAGTGTCCGGTTCCGCGGCCATCGGGCCGTATCGTACCTTTCCCGGCGGCCGATCGCCACGGGGCGGGCAAGCAGCTCAGGCCGCGACCAGGCGCCACACCTGCGTGACCAGAAAGCAGACAGTGATGCCAATCACCACCGGCAACAGGGTGGACAGCGTCGTCCAGCCGGCGCTGCGGGTCTCCCTGTAGATCGTGTAGATGGTGGTGGAGCACGGATTGTGCAGCAGGCTGAACAGCATCAGGTTGACCGCCGTCAGCAGCGTCCACCCGCCGGTGCGCAGCAGGCCACCGGTCGTCTCGATGCTGTCGAGCTCGAACATCACGCCCGCACCGGAGCCGGCGCCGGCAACGTCGGCGGTCAGCACGGTGAGCATCAGCACGGTCGGCACGACGATCTCATTGGCCGGAATCGCGACGACGTAGGCGAGCAGGATGACGCCGTTGAGCCCGATCAGCAGCCCGAACGGGTCCAGCCACGAGACGCCGTGCTGCGCGAGGCTGGCGCCGCCAACATCGATATTGGACACCAGCCAGATCACCGCGCCCGCGGGCGCTGCAAAAACCACGGCGCGCCAGAGAACGATGAGCGTGCGATCGATTATCGACGTGTACAGCGTCTGCAGCACGCGCGGCGGACGGTAGGGCGGCAGCTCCAGGCTGAAGCTGGTCGCCTCGCCGCGAAGCACGGTCCGGGACAGCAGCCACGACGTGGCGAACATGGTGACGATGCCCAGCAGTGCAATGCCAACTACCGCGGCCGCGGATACGACCCCTGCGAGATGCGCCGGCGCCAGCGCCCCGATGAAGATCGTGGCGATGAGGATCTGGGTGGGCCAGCGGCCGTTGCACAGCGAGAAGTTGTTGGTGATGATGGCGAGCAGACGCTCGCGCGGGCTGTCGATGATCCGCGTCGAGACGACGCCGGCGGCGTTGCACCCGAACCCCATGCACATGGTGAGCGCCTGCTTGCCGTGGGCGCCGGCCGCCCGGAACAGCGCGTCGAGGTTGAAGGCGACCCGCGGCAGATAGCCGAAATCCTCCAGCAACGTGAACAGCGGAAAGAATATGGCCATCGGCGGCAGCATGACCGCCACCACCCAGGCGGTGGCCAGATACACGCCGTCGAACAGGAAACCGCTCAACCACCACGGGAAGCCGGCAGCCGCGCCGAGACCGTTCAGCCAGGGATGCACCCTGTCGATCAATAAGCCCGCCAGCATGCTGGACGGGACGTTTGCGCCTTCGATCGTGAGCCAGAAGACCACGGCCAGCACCGCCAGCATCAGGGGGAATCCCAGCCAGCGGTTCGTCAACAGGCGGTCCGTGGTCCGATCGATGTCGAAGCGGGCCCGCTTGAGCCCCTGCATTCCAACCGCCGCGGCAATCTCGTGGGCCGCGACGAAGATCCGCTCCGTGAGCGTGTCGTGAAAGTCGGCCGGCAGCTCCCAGCGCAGCCGTCGGGCGCTCTCCAGCACCTGGTCGCGGGCGCGCTGCGGGGCCAGCGGCGTATCGTCGTCGTCCGCCGGCGCGTCGCCGAGTTGTCCGAGCTCCCCGGATCGCACCGCCGCGACCACGGCATCGTCGGCATTCAGGAGACGCAGCGCCACCCAGCGGGCATTCGGCACGCGCGGAAACGCGTCCGCCACGGTCCGGGCCAGTGTGGCGACCGTCTCCTCGACGCTGCCGGTGAGACGCTCCACGCGGTAAGGGCGAGTGGACTGCGCCCGCGTTGCCACGCGGTGGGCAGCCGCGAGCAGGTCATCGATACCCACTTTTTCGCGGGCCACGCCACTGACCACCGGGACGCCCAGCTGTTGCTCCAGACGCGCCGGGTCAACGGCGACGCCGTGGCGCCGCGCCTCGTCGACCAGGTTGAGGTACACGACGACGCGGTCCGTGATGTCCAGGATTTGCAGGACGAGGTTCAGATTCCGCTCCAGACGCGTCGCGTCCACCACCACGACCGTCACGTCCGGCCTGCCGAACAGGATGAAGTCGCGGGCCACCTCCTCGTCGGCGCTGCCCGCCTGCAGTGAATACGTGCCCGGCAGATCGACGATCTTGAGCCGCTTGTCCTTGTAGCCAAAGGCGCCCTCGGCACGCACGATCGTCTTGCCCGGCCAGTTGCCGGTATGCTGCCGGAGCCCGGTCAGGGCGTTGAAGACCGTGCTCTTGCCGACGTTCGGATTGCCGGCCAGCGCGACCAGGAAGTCCCACTTGTCCGGATTCAGGCCGAGGCGCAGCAGGCTGTCGGTGCGGTGCTGCGCGCAGCCGCCGCACGCGCCGGGCGCCAGCGCGGGGCATCAAGCCACCTCCGGCGCCGCGTTCGCGGAGTCGCGTTCGACCCGTATCCACGCTGCCTGTTGGCGGCGCAGCGCAATCAGCGCGCCCTGGATGCTGTAGGCGACGGGATCGCCCGCCGCGCTCACCAGCTCGGGCACGATCTCGGCGCCCCTTACCACCCCGAGGTCGAGCAGGCGGCGGCGTTGGGGTCCCTGGCAGGCGCGGGAGATCTCGACGACACGCACGCTCTCGCCCGGACTCGCATCCTGCAGCGTCGTCCAGGGCCGCGCGTCCCGCTCCTCCGGTGGCAGCTCGCGCACGTTGACGTTGCGCGCCGCAATCGGGTCGAGCGTCCACTCGCGCCCAGCCGTACGCACGCGGATGCCGCGGTCCGACCGCGCAACGATCTCCAGGCGGCCGCCCAGATCGAGGCCGTCGCTGAGCAGCGCGTCATAGACCTCCGGGGGCTCGTCCTCCAGGTGCACGATTTCCACCGCGCGGCCGGGCGCGACAGCCTCCAAACCGATGCCGGGTGCGGGCGGAATGTCGCCGGTCGCATCCGGGATGGGATCGCCGTGCGGGTCCCAGGCCGGGCGCGCCGAGCCGCTGGTCGAGGGCATCGGCCTGCTCCGCGGACAGCGCGTGCTCCATCCGCTCCGCCTGGTCGTGCCACTTCGTAGCCGGCACGCTGGTCCGGTCTGCAAGGTAGCGTTCCCACAGCCTGTGGATCCGTACGATCCGCACGGCCGACCGCGCACCCTCAAGGGTCAGCACCGGCCCGTCCGACTCCATCCGCATCAGCCCATGCCGGCGAGGCGCGACAGCAGCGCCGCCGCCTCACCGGACGACACCGCCAGGTGGCCGGCAAGGCTGTCGACCGAGCACGCCTGGCACGCCTGCCGGCAGGCGAACACGTGCTTCAGCGCATCCTCCAGGCGAACCCGCTCGCTTAGCCGCACGAATTGCAGCCAGCGCGGCAACAGGCCGCGTGCGGGCCACAGCAACACGGCCAGCAGCAGGCACAGGCCGGCAAATACCGCCAGGGCGAGTTGCGGATCTACCATCGTGCTACAGCGAGGATGTGGAGTTTGGCTTTTGACAATTTTGTTTTTGAGTAGTCAAAATGAATGTATCTTGACGCGCGCACAGGGACAAGTCAAGCTGCCGCGAATTGGAGGCGTGGCCATGCCGCTGCCATCGAGTACGGTCGAGAACTATCTGAAGACCATCTACAAGGCCCAGTCGGCCCAGCGCGATCGCGCGCGGCTGGTGCCGATGGGGCATCTGGCCCAAGCACTCGGCGTAGTCCCCGGCACCGCCACCACCATGATCAAGGCGCTGGCCGAGTCCGGCCTGGTCGACTACGAGCCGTACGCGGGCGTGCGGCTGACCCCGTCCGGCGAGAAACTGGCGGCGCTTGTGCTGCGGCGGCACCGGCTGATGGAGCTGTTTCTCGTCAAGGTGCTCGGCATGAGCTGGGCCGAGGTGCACGACGAAGCCGAGCGTCTGGAGCACGCCGCCTCCGACAAGCTGATCGATCGGATCGATACGATGCTCGGACGCCCGGCCACCGACCCCCACGGCGACCCGATTCCCGACTCCAGCGGATCGGTGGTGACGCGCGACTACCCGACGCTGCTCACCTGCCCGCTCGGCGACAGGGTCGTGCTGACGCGCGTAACCGATCAGGATGCGACATTCCTGCGCTTCCTGGAAGGCAACAGCCTCAAGCCGGGTCAGGCGCTGCGGGTCGAAACGCGCGACGACGCCGCCGACCAGGTCGTGGTCCGCGGCAAGAGCAACCGGCAGATCACGATCGGCATGCGTGCGGCGGCCAAGCTGCAGGTCGCGCCGGCAAAGCCGGAGGGGTAGATTTCCGCCGCGCCGTCACAACGATTCCAGGAAGGCCATCAGCGCCGCCAACTCTCCGTCGGCCAGGGCCGGCAGCCACCCGCGCGCGGCGGGTCAGCCGACGTCGGCGGGCGACGGCTTGCTGCTCGCGGACGGCGCGGATTCCCCGACGTAGGTGGCGAATGAGGCGGGCGTTTCCCAGACTGTCACGCGGACTACCGGGAACCCGAGAGATTCCGTCTTCTCGAAGATCAGCCGGGCGATGTGCTCGACCGTGGGATTGTTGTCGACCACGTACACCGGCTCGCCGAGCGCGCGCAGCGGCGCCAGCAGCGGATCGTCGCCGCGCAGAATCATGCGGTGGTCGAGCTCGCTGTCGATCCACGCCTTGACCACCCGCTTGATGTCGCTGAAGTCGCAGACCATGTCGCGCGCGTCGAGCGACGCGGTCCGCACCTCGATCTCGGCGACGGCATTGTGGCCGTGGGGATGCTTGCAGACACCGTCGTATTC